ACATTAGTGTATGGTTTTGCAGATTTGGTGTGTGCTTCTGCTGTTTGAGTGTCAGCTTTCAGAAACTGTGTGAAGAGTAAAGATTTTGTGTAAGCAGTTGAAAAAAACTGTGAATGCTTACAATTCAAACACACAGATGACTTTCCTGCAGTGAACACTGAGATCAGTAACACTGTAACAACACAACTCTTATAGGATTCAGGAATTATTTTTGCAGCTCGATGTCTATTACAGTATACATACATTAAATTACAGATACAGATGTTTAATTCAGCAATGAACTTTTGGGGAAAAAATCATTTTCATTTTACTACTGTAAAGTAATATTGCAGTAGATGAAAAGCAATAGAAAAGTTCAAATACCAAAGAAGTGTATGAACTTGGCATGCACCACAATACAGTACAGTAAAAAATTACATTAAAAAAGTAAATTTAGCATCCTCTGCACATTTGGCCAAATGTCATTACAGTATACAGTACTATAGCAACTTCTTGGTCTCCTGACACAAGACTATATCTCTAGAGCAGGGGTAGGCGAGTTCAGTCCTAGAGAGCCGCAGTCCTGCAGAGTTCAGCTCCAACCCTAATCAAACACACCTGAACAAGCTAATCAATGTCTTCAGGATTACTAAGGCTATAGGCAGGGGGGGTTATGAACTTGGCATGCACCACAATACAGTACAGTAAAAAATTACATTAAAAAAGTAAATTTAGCATCCTCTGCACATTTGGCCAAATGTCATTACAGTACACAGTACTATAGCAACTTCTTGGTCTCCTGACACAAGACTATATCTCTAGTACAGGGGTAGGCGAGTTCAGTCCTAGAGAGCCGCAGTCCTGCAGAGTTCAGCTCCAACCCTAATCAAACACACCTGAACAAGCTAATCAATGTCTTCAGGATTACTAAGGCTATAGGCAGGTGAGTTTGTTTTCAGGGTTGGAGCTGAACTCTGCAGGACTACCCTACCCCTGCTCTAGGCAGTCATTCTCAGTTCTGCTAAAATGCAGTTCACATAAAAAAATGGTTGCAAATAAAATTTGACAGTCACACGCTTGAAGGTGTACAATATGTGCTAGTTTACTGTACATATAGAATAGTGAAATGTCCATGATCTAATGTACTGGTACTGTACTGTAATTATACTGTATGTGTAAGTATAAAACCCCTGTAGATGATTGGCTCAGCTCTCTCCTCTCTCCGTTGTTAGGATGCAGAGATTCTGATTGGTGTGTCATCTTTTTTTAGGCTACTCATTGTTAAAC